TTCCAAGTGCCAGCTGGAGGTTGGCAACCCTAATCTGACCCCTGAATGCTTTCTACGAAATAAGTCCAACTGAGTTCAATAATCCTTAGTCCCTTCCTAGTGTTTTTGGACTGCAAGAAGATCAAATCAGTCAGTCCTAAAAGAAATCAACCCTGACTGTTCCCTGGAAGGCCAGATAATGAAACTGAAGCTCAAATACTTTGGCCACCAAATGAGAAGGGAGCACTCCCTGGAGAAGACCCTGATGCTGGGAAAGACTGAAGGTCAAAGAAGACGGGGACGGCAAAGGATGAGATGGTTAGACAGTGTCACAGATGCAGCGAACATGAAATTGAGCAAACTTCAGAGGACGGCGGAAGACCGGAAGGCCTGGGGTCGCGAAGAGTCGGACTCGACTGTGCGACTGAACAACAACAAGTGTTTTAGGATTACAGATCAATTGCCTCTCCTTTGCCGAATGTCTACCCCCCCATTACTTACTTATGGCCTGGACAATTGTACTTGGACAATTGTACCTGGACAATTGTCTTGTCCCCCAGTTACCCTCCAGGCTTGAAGAAACAGTGAATTTAAGACTCAGCTAGTTCCAGTTGCCCATTTGGCTTTTTTCTTTTCCTAACTATGAACTAGGAAGTGATGGGCAGCATTGATTGTTAAGCCCTGCCCAGCCCTGCCCTGTATCATTAGCAACCTTACTTGGCAACCTAAGGAGGCAGCGATACAGACCGCTCTGGCTACAGACATAGCTGCCTTGCATAATGGGATCGGGATGGCCCTTGCACCTCTCACTGCTCCTCACTATTTGTGCTAAAGGTAAGACTCAGCCCCAGCCTCAGAGGTGAAGATCCTGACCCTGCAGTTGTTCATTATGAGATCTCCTGCCCTCAGAGTAAGTCTCCTCTGCAAACTATAGGTCCCAGGAGAAGTCTGTCCTAGTAGAATCAATCTAATGTCAAAGGGTCCTTTTCTGCAATTATATTTTTATGAATTATATATGGATTTGATTTATCTGTCTTTTGTAGCCACAGGCATTTTTTATGAATTATGTATGCATTTGATTTATCTGTCTTTTGTAGCCACAGGCATTTTGCCAAGTCAGATATTTTGTTATAGAGATATTGCCCTTAGATATAAACTTCTATCTGGGAAAATGCAATATTTCCCCCCAATTGCTCATTCAACACTTTTAGAAAGGCAGTGTCCTTCGGGCGAGGATCATGAGCGGCTATTGAGAATAATTATGATGACATTTCTGTTTAAGTGCTACAGTTCCTCAGGCATTCCATTTTGTAACCTTTTAAAAATTGTTTGTTTGTTTCATTGTTTGAGGATGTACATTTCCACGTAGCCTAGCTCGTAGGGGAATGAGCATATGGCCAGATTATTATTTTTTTACAGTAAACTTACTTCTACTAATATTAATGCCTATTACATAGCCTCCAAGGGGTTATTTTGTTACTGTTGCTGAAACCTCATTTGTTGAAATGCTGCAGGCTGGCCAAAAATGAAGTCCAATGTGTTTGGTGTGATTCTGTAGAAAGCCATGTCTGTCAAGTAGTTCTACTAAGATTGCTGGCCAATCAGGAAAAGGAAAACCTAGCCATCGATTTCAAGCGCAGACAAAGTTAGGTGTCTGTCAGAGTATTGCCCCAGTCCCTCAAATCTCTGACAAGTTTCCTTTCTGTGACCGTGGGATAGACCAGGTGTCCAAAAGTGATAGTTCTGCCTTCTTTCCTAAAGCGTCTGACCTAATTTTAGTATTTGTGATACACTGAAATGAGACAGGCAAGGTAACCAAAGATGCTTTCCCTTCAAGAGTTCCCACAAGATGCCAGCACGGCTCAGCCCTCGATGAGTCAGACCTTCTGGGTCGCATATTAAGAAGGATGAAGATTAGGGTTGCCAGCCTCCTGGTGAGGCCTGGAGATCTCCTGGAATGACACTTGACCTCCAGACTACAGAGATCAGCTGCCCTGGAGGAAATGGCTGATTTGGAGGGTGGACTCAATGGCATTATGGCCCAGTGAGGCCCATCCCCTCCCCAAACCCTGCCCTCCCTGGGCTCCACCCCCAATTTCCAGGAATTTTCCAACCCGGAGCTGGCAACCTGGAGAAGCTATCATGTCTTCCTTGTCAGGATTAGGATGACCAGAAGCAAAGGAGAGCAGACTTTCAGTAGCTATGTAGAAGGCGGCCTTTTAAGCAAGGGCAGCTTTTTCTCACACCCACCTAACAAAGCTGCTTGTGCCAACATTCCTTCTCCTGCACAAATATTAAAGATCTTGTTTGTGTCTGATCGCTCTAGTCAGGATGCTTGTTTGCTGAGATGCTGGAGGCAAGGGTGGGAGGGAGGGAGAAACAGAGCTAAATCCATAACAGAAAATTCTGCACCAAGTGTTGTTTCTGGATATGAAACACTCAAAGTATGCTAATAGCAGGTGACTACAATAACCTTGTATTTCCCCCCCCTCCAGATGCAGTCGTCATCATCGCTGTAGGTAAGGATGGAGACCTGTCTACTTCAGCATTCAACGGCTTGTCATTGGTAGTGGGGAGAAGAAGATAACCTCACGCAGGGCAGGAATGAGCTTTGAAGCACAACAGCTGTGAAAACAAAGCTGAATGTTCTTAATGTGGGCAAACATGGGTTGTAGCCAAGCATGTGTGTGAGAGCCCACGCACCTCCAGATGGGCATACAGAGACCTTTGTGATGACACACTGTGAATGGGCTACATTAGGACCAAAGCTTTGCTCTCAGATTAAGTTCCTTGGTACCCACCCCCTGCAAAAGAATTGCTCTCTAGGTGTAAATCAGGTCTTGTCAACTCTTGAATATTTGAGGACCGTTCCAACCCGAGGTGCAGGACAGGTGGCTGTCTAGGGTACCAGAGTTCAAGAGGCACAAGGCTATTCTTTTGAGAGAGGAATACAATTTCTATAACTGCTGAGACAACAGAGATTGGACAAAGGAACGAGTGTCCCTGTTATGTGTTTTCCCAATTGCAGAGCAAAGGGGATGCAATTGGGAAAGGCCTTAATTGGGACATCATTGTCCCCATAGGACTATAGCACCCACCTCCCCCAAAAAAGTTACAAAATGGCACTATGATGAGCTTCCAGATGAATGTGCTTCATTTAGAGGAGACAAGAGTGCAAATTTCTGGCCTTTTAATGAACCCATGAATCAGGTGCCATGTGACTTGAACCCAGAACCTGGAGCCAAACATCTGGGCTTCTGGGCCAATCTCCTCTGCACCACAGCACCCATCTCAAGATGGCCAGTGAAGAAAAAGCACACCATTCCTGGAGGGACCCAACAAGAGCTGCAGGGAGCAGCTGACAGAAGGGCCTAGTAAGATCTAGCCTGAAGATATAAAACTGCTTCCTCCAGACTGGTATGAAGGCTGTGCTAACTTAGGGGGCAAGGGGGAGGGCTTCTGCCTCTTGTGATTTTGTACCTTGCATCTGCCTTGGATGGCCTTTTAGATTCTGAACCTCACTTGATCATGCTTCTGCCTAGCCTCAGGGTTGCCTGCAAGACATTTGGCTTGTCCCTGATGTTGTTTTGCTGCTTCTAATGAACATTTTTGCCTATCTCTGCCTCTTGCTCGAATGCATGTTCTTCTGTTCTGCCTGCCCTGCTTCTGCATGATCCCAGGTCTCAGAAGTGCATTAGGCTACCATTCCATGCATCTGGCAAATACAAAACTCATTTGAAACAAAACATATTGAGATAAAATGTGTAATGTATTTTCAGACTTACTACATGGAGACAATATTCATTTCCAGGAAACAGTCTCTCAGTTTGGAATGCCTGTCTAACCACAGGTTTTTTGCTATATTCATTAATGATGAAAGGAAGATTTTCATGTTGCAATGGCTATGTTCCATTCATTATTGCTGGTGTAACAGAAGCAAATTAGTAAACTGATGACATTTGTTAATGTGGATCATTCTGGTGACTGTTCCATGTGGTGCCTGATGGAAATTTGTCCAGCACAATTGCAAACTGGTGGAGACCATTGTCCTTGCCTCTGAAGAACTTGCAGGGGTAGTGGAGAGAAGTGAGGTGGCTCTTCATTGTTGACTTCAGCCTCATATTTGAGGATGTTCTCTCATCCTCAATTTCTCATCAAGAGAAATATCTCCTGAGACTCAGATCTAAAGCCCCATCCATCCTGCCCAAACTTCCTGGCTGTGGTAACTGCTTCCTACTCCTGCTGCATGCTAATTCAAGGCAGTGGTGGATGGTGGTGGGGAATACTAACCATTCTGGAATCTGGGCCCAGTGATGCTCCTAAGGTTGCCTTCTGGAGATGTGAATAATATGTGCTGAACCCTTCACTCCCCCCCCCATTTTACTGCCGCTCCTGCTTGGGTCAGGCTAAGACTGGAGATGCTGCTTGTTGTGTCCACTGACCACCACCGGAGGTCAGCGCATATCCCTGAGCTTCAGTCCTGAACAACAATGGGGACTAGGATTCTAGTCCCTCCACTGGGGAACCAATGGGAACCGTGGCGGGAGATTCAAACCCTCCAATGGTGACCAGGGGTGTGTCCCCAGGTGTGTATATAGTTAGCCTGCCGGCCGTTTGCCGGCATGTCTTGTTGTGTACCTAATAAAGCGTGCTATGCACCACGTCGTTGTCTGTCGTCCATCCATGCGGCTACCCACTACATAACACTGCTGACGAGGATGGGATCCAGCCGCATCTGAGACGGGCCGTCACGAGGAACCAGGAGAACGCGAAGCTGCAGATCCGATGAGCGATCCAGCCAGCAGTGCAACCGCTTCTCCCGCAACCCCTCCGACGCGCACAATGGCTACCGCTCCGGGGCTAGGGCTGCTTCCGCCCTTCGACATAGCCCACCCGCAAGACTGGGCTTCCTGGGTCCAGGGCGCCGAGTCCGCACTAGACTTCTACGACGTCACCGACGAGGGCAAGAAGCGGGGATTCCTCCTGGCCTCCTGTGGCACCGCCGTGGTGTCCCTGGCCAGAAGGCTACTCTCCCCCACCAACCTTGGCGATTGCACCTTCCAGCAGATCGTCAAAGCGGTGCAGAATCACTTCGCACCCAAACCCACCGAGCTGACTTGCCGGGTAACCTTCTACACCCGCAATCAGCTGGCCGGAGAGACCGCTGCGGAGTTCCTCGCAGAGCTGCGCCAGCTTGCTGCCGACTGCAATTTCGGAGCACACCTGGAGGATGCCCTCCGTGACCACTTCGTCGTGGATAATATTTGCTGTACCCTTCCCCCCCCCCCCCCCCATTTTACTGCCACTCCTGCTTGGGTCAGGCTAAGACTGGAGATGCTGCTGAAGCGCCTTAATGCTTTTGTCTGCTGCTGTTTGGCTGTCATTCAGCCCCCAGAAGCCATGGACTTGAAAGATGGGCTGCTGTCAGAGTTGCCCACAAGACTGCTCCCTCATTCATCCTGCTTTTTCAAGGCAAACTCCTCCTTCTGCCCACTGTGACACCACCAGACATTTCCCCCTTACCGTACTCATACTCTCTCTTGGAGATGTGCTTTCTCCAAGGTAGCTGAACATTTTTATTAGGGATGTGCTGTTTACTACTTCTGCTAATCAAAATGTAACCTGAAACATGGCCATTCTTCTAATAACATCTGTGCTCCAAATCTGAACAGATTCCTCCCCCAGTGTTCTGATTAGTATTGGAGTTGGAAATATACTGATTGTCTGACAGGTATTGTGGTATCTTTCTGACCGGTTTGTTTCCTGGGCTATGGGTGGCAGAAGGGGAAAGGAAAGGAGAGAGTGACTCAGCAGCTGTGTGGATGACAAAGACACTGGCATTTCTGTGCATGGCATCTTTAACTTCCACTGATTAGTGTACCATCTCAGGCTTACGGGGCATTGTCTGATTCTGTGTAAGAAGCATGGCTCCTGTTTATATGAACTATATTATTCTTTGGTGCTGCACTCCCTGGTAAACAGCCATGGACAAAAGTTTGCTTACTTCCACTGAAAGATAAGCTGTGCAGCATGACAAGAGAGAGCTAGAGGATTCTGGAGAGGTAGCATATGAATTCCCTACATAAACAGAGGCTCAGACCTTCCCAGTCCCCTATTGCAGACTGGAGGGGACATACGCAGGAGACAAGCACACTAAAATCCCCTTCCTCTGCAACAGGAGAGGTAAGCATGTTATTGGCTTCCAGTAGAAGACAGGGATAGGCAGCGGCAGGTGTGTGTGTGGGGGGAATAGGTGCATCGACCATCTGCTGGGGAGAGAAGCCAAGATGTTGCTTGCACCCTCTCTTCCTGGCAGGCAGATGAGGCATTCTGCAGATGGGATGCATGGAGGAGGTTGAGAGGGCTGAGGTTGAAATTTGGCAGGGAGAATCCCTTGTCTGATGGTTATAATCCCTCAACATGAATCTTACTGGGTGGAAAACAATTACAGCCTGATGGGCCTGTATTCCATTGTAATAGAAAATGAAACAAAAGAACACAACAACAAATGAAACGAAAATGAATATAATTTTTAAAAATAAAAATGAAACAAAATGATATTTTTTAAAAAATCCATCCTTATTTTTCTCACCCTTTTCGAAGGGTCCGAAGGGCTTTGAACCAAACTAGATGTTGCCTGTGACACAAGCAATGTTCCCTCTTAAGTTGTGGAGTCTTGTGAGCAAAAATTCTGCTTTGTGAGCTCCTGGCATTAAAGTTGCGAGCGAGTGATTTGGCTCCTGCATAAATTAGTTTGCTCTGAAGCCAGTCTTCCTGAGCTAAGACAAAAGTGTGTGAGCCGGAGGCTAAAAAACTGTGAGCTAGCTCACACTAACTCAGCTTAGAGGGAATACTGGACACAAGTCAGGCTCTGGGTGCCCAACCTACTTCTCTGTCCCAAGGAAGAACTGGGGAACTTAACTTTAAAGTGCTTCATTTGCCCTGACCTGGATAGCCCAAGGAAGCCCAATTTCATCAGATATCGGAAACTAAGCAGGGTCGACTCTGGCAAGTACTTGGATGGGAAACGTCCTTGAAATACCAGAGGCGGGAGGCAGGGGCAGGCTTTATTTAGCCACCACTCTGAATAGTCTCCAGGCCCCCGGTAGGAGTCAGTCACCAGAGGTCGCCATGACTTCCAGGTGCACACACACTCCCACGCACACATGCACATATGAAAAATACAAAAAAACCCCACCCCCCAAAAGTGATTTGTTGCTCTGTTGGGCTTCAGAGTGCTGTGAGGGGGGAACAAGGGGCTTCCAGCTTCCTTACTGTTTGCGAAAGAAAGGGCTAAACAGGCTCTCCCCTAGCCCTAGTGGCTATTTCTACTGATGAAAAAGGCATGGAAGGGAAGGTGGAAGCAGTGCTCTGGAACCAAGTACTTTGGAGCCAAACAGAGCGATGGGACATTTTCAAGGTAAGCTCCCCCTGTGTGACAGTGAGTCAGGTGGGCACCAGTATCCTGACTTGTGTCACACGTAATGCCTAGTTTGGCTCTTAAATGAGCTTCTCTAGGTAAGCGGTTCCATTCTCAAGCAAGGTGATTCAGTGGGTGATAGCTTAAGCAGATCATTTGCATTTGGCTCCTTTCCAGTCTGATTTTAAGCTTGGGTATGGGACTGAACAGCCTGGGTTGGCCTGGCAGATGACCTGTGCCAGAAGATGGACAGAGGGAATGCAACTCTGTTGATTCTCCTGGACTTCTCAGTAGATTTCAGTACCATCAATCATGGTATCTTTCTGGGCTGGGTCTGGGAAGCACTGTTTTGTTGCGTTTCCAGTGCTCCCTGGAGGGTAGGTTCAGAAGAGGGTTCTGGGGGACTGCTGCTCATCTCCTTGGCCTTTGGCCTGTGGGGTCTTGCAAGGCTCCATTTCATCACCTGTGCTCTTTAACATCTACATCATCCCGAGATGTGGGCTGGGTTGTCACCAATATGTGGGTGACACTCAGCTCTATCTCACATTTCCAGATGATCCCAGGGAGGCTGTAGAAACCCTGAATTGATGCCTGGAGGCAGTTTTGGAGAGAATGTGGGCTAATAGACTGAAGCTTAATCCTGGCAAGATAGAAGTGCTACTGGTGATCAGAGTGAAGGTATCGTCTGTTCTGAATGGGATTGCACTCCCCTTGAAAGAAAATGTCTCTAGTTTGGGAGTGCTTCTTGGACCCAGGCCTACTGCTGGATAAGCAGGTGGCAGCTGTGGCCAGGAGTGCCTTTTACCATCTTTGACTGGTTAGCCAGCTGTGACCTTTCCTGGGCAAAAACAGATCTGGCCACCGTGGAGCATGCCCTGGCTACATCTAGATTAGTTTGATTCATTGCACAGCTCTCTACATGGGGTGGGCCTTGAGGAGTGTTTGGAAACTTTAGTTGGTGCAGAATACTACTGCCAGGATGTTGACTGGAGTGTTCTTTTAAGATGTGGTTTTATTATGTATGTTTTTAGTATGTTTTGATAGTTTATGCTTCATCAATATGGACTGCAGCATATAGAATGCTTTAGGTTACAGCTCGGATTCTTATGCTGTAAGAAGGTATGCCATCTAATACCGGGTACTAAATGTATTAGATAGAAAAGTTAGCTTTTTTATTTCTCTGTTGCTAAGCTATAGAGAAGGAGCTGCGGTGGCTCAAGTGGTTAAGACGCTGAACTGCAGGCTGTGGAAGGTCAGTAGTTCAGCAGTTCGAGACCCAGGGTGCCGCATGATGGAGTGAGCTCCCATCTCTAGTTACAGCTCTTGCCAACCTAGCAGTTCGAAAGCAAGTAATTGCAAGTAGATAAATAGGTACCACTTTGGTGGGAAGGTAACAGCGTTCCATGTGCCTTGGTGTTTAGTCATGCTGGCCACATGACCACGGAAACGTCTTTGGACAGCGCTGGCTCTTCGGCTTTGAAACGGAGATGAGCACCGCAACCCTAGAGTCGGATTCGACTGGCTTTCGAGCAAGGGAACCTTTACCTTTAAGCTATAGAGAAGGTACAGCATAGTGATATCCTTTTTAAATCCTTTATATAAAGGTCTGCTTTATTTGTGTGTGTTTAACCTCAAGATCCTGCAGCAGGGCTGGGTGCCATTCAGACCAGAAGGAGTAGTGACCCAGGCTTGGGTCTCGGACAGAGACAGACGAACAGTGCAATCCTAAACAGTGCAATCCTTCTAAGCCCATCGACTTCAGTGGACTTAGAAAGTTGTAACTCTGCTTAGGATTGCACTGACAGGGTTTTACATTGGTTTCATCTTGTCATGGGACTAATTCTCTCCAATGATTTCTCTCTGCCACAGAGTTCGATGACCTCCCACGTACTGTTGAGGTGGATGAAAATATGACTGCAGGAGTTGTGGCCAGCTTCACTGTCAATTGCACTACACCCTCAAGCAATGGACTCACCGTAACTTTGGAGACCATTAGTCCCACAACCACTTTTTTCAACTCACCAAATGCCTTAGGCAATGGCACCTTCCAGGTACAAGGGGGGTTGTAGATCTGGGTCCAATCAGTGCAGTACCTCAACGTCTTCAAGACTGAGACATTTTTTCACAAATGACCCATAAGAGAACAGGGATGCTTCCTGTCTGTGACATCCCATGTAGACATTTTAAGGAGAACGTCTATCTGGGACTACTGGATAGAAATTGCTGCTGTCCTACTTGACTGCAAGCTAGGCTTTTCCCATCCGAAAAAGATGAATGCCACTGACAGATGCCAGAGTATTTAACAAACATATTTCAATTAAAATGTATCCAGAAGAAATGAACAAATGAAATATGCATTTTTGGTGTCGTGTCATGGGGCACAGATTTTATTAAAGAGAATTGACTTTGTTTTGCTCGTTGCTCAGCATTTAGCTTGTAAAAGAAATGCAGGATACATGAAACTACAACTGTAAAACTACTCAAATTGCCAAAAAAAACCACCCAACCCTTGAGAATGGTAGTTCTGTGAAAGAGCTGGGGAATTTGTAGCAGTCCTAGGAAGTGCTAGGAAAGCTATGGTTGTGGTCAGACATGCCATTTGGCAGGGTCAGGAAGTGCTCCTATTTCATCCATTGATATTTGAAACAGAGTTGCTCCATCAGACATCCCAGTACAATCCATTTCACTGCAGGATCAGCCCGTCACCGCACAATCAGATGGCGTGGACGGGCGAGGGTTTTAATTTTTTTGCTTGTTTTTGCGCATGCGCATAAATGAGGGTGCCGGTTTTTGCACATGCGTTTTCCAACTTCCAGGAGTCGATTCTCCACTTTGACCACTCGCCAATCCTTCCACAGAGCACTGTGATCCCCTTGGTTCACAGTGAGCTGTGGTTGCCTGACAACCTCCACTTTCCTGCTCACTTTCAAAGCTGGCCTAAAGATAGGGTTGCCAGGTCCAATCTTATCTCCAGTGGGGGAATCAGGGGGCGTTCCAGGGGGTGTGTGGCTACCCCCGCCGCGATGACGTCACTCCGCATGACATCATCGCACCCCGCTTTCCCCCTATCATTAAAGGGAAACATTAAAGGGAAATGTTAAAGGGGGGAAAGCAAGGGCCAAGTGCCCCTGCCTTGCAAGAGGCAAAATCACCTCTTGCAAGGCAGGAGCTGACAGCCCCCAGTCGGGAAGAGTGGGTGCCCAGTGCCCCTGTCTTGCATATTCCCAGCTATGATCAGAAGTAGTGGTAATGTGGGGGGGGGGGCAGGGCTCCTGGTCTGCCTCTTGCAAGGCAGGAGTTGACGGCCCCCAGTCGGGAAGAGTGGGTGCCCGGTGCCCCTGCCTTGCGCATTCCCAGATATGATCAGAAGTAGTGGTAATGTGTGTGTGTGGGGGGGCAGGGCTCCTGGTCTATAGTTCCTGATGGCTGTTGATCTTCCTTGTTCTGATTGCTAGGTAACCCTTCGCCCAGGCACTGACCTGAATGCCAGGGAGGTGAATCAGTATACCTTGACATTCAAAGCAGCATGCCCAGGAGAAGACTCCGTTACTAGTCAGCTTTACATTCAAGTAAAAGAAGTAGACAGATTAGAATGTGACAACACATTTATTAACACAGGTAAGACTGGCTTGGTTGCCTAAATCTGGCAATTTATGTATTAGCAGATTTATTAGCAGCAGAGAGGGATTATTTTCCAGGGGCAGGAGGAGATGTTCTGGGAAACAGAATTTTCTGATGCTGTGGCTGGATATAAGGCAGAGACTTGAGAATTTGAAGGATTCTCTAATGATGTCCCAAGTAGGGGCAGGGGATAGTGAGTCTGGGGGCGGATTATAAGGGATGTGATTTATCTTTCAGTATCTGTTGGCAGAATTCAAGAAATAATCCAATCCCACACTTTGGAGATTGCTTTCAATAACCTTTACTGCAACAGGATTAGCAGAAAGACAACAGCTGACTGCAGGCCACTGATACAACAGAGAGGCCCTCAGAATACAAGCACTAATTCACACTAACACACAGGAGAGAGAGAAACAACAAGACATAGGGTGCACTGCAAGAGAAAACATTCAATAAACCCTGGACACCTGAGAATGCACCACAGCTCCCCCTAGGGTACAAGTAGATTAAAACAACTCTTCCAGATGAGCAGAAGATGGTCCGGGGATGTTTAGACCAGTGGGAATCTGAGCTAGTGGAGAATGCTAGAGCAGTCAGAGGGGCACACTTTAATTGGAACACAAATCCTTCCCAATGCCTTCTTCTTTCCTACAGCTGCAAGACCATTACTAGTTCCTGAGAATGTTGCTCCTGAAACTGTCATCTACACAGTCACACTGAAGAGGCGAGGCAGAGGCAGTTTGACAGTGAGCATCATGGTAGTGGGGCAACAGCTGGAACGTGGTTGGGAAAGGATTTATTAGCAGCAGGGAGGGATTATTCTATGGGGGGGATATGGGAAAGGGAATTTACTGATGCTGTGGCTGGATATAAGGCAGAGGCTTGAGAATTTGGAGGATTCTCTAATTATGTCCCAAGTAGGGGCAGGGGATAGTGAGTCTGGGGGTGGATGATAAGGGATGTGACTTATCTTTCACTAAAGTCTCCTACTGACTTGTTCTTCTCTCATACAGTTTGCCTTTGAAAATGGTTCTGTGCCTTTCACCTTAAATGCAATAGGAGAAGTGCTTGCACCTGCCACAGGTTTGACTCGCACACAAGCTGGTAAGGTGTGTGCCTCTATTTAATTCATGGACACAGCATAAAGGGGTGGGTGGGGGGATAAGCCCACAAACAACCCAGCTAACAGTAGGCCAGAAAAGACTGGAGTAACTATTCGGGTCTATTCCAGAAACACACGTAATCCAACTGTCCTGTAGTATATATGCAAACTATATCGAAAAGCATTCACATGAAAAGTCATAAAGGACCAAATGCATTTCAACTTCACAGTCATCTTCAGTGGCCTCTAACACATAAATATCCTATTCCTTCATAAATATTTATGTGTGTTCAATACAAAGAAAATAGATATAAAAATATAAACACACTCAATATCTAATTGAACTATTGAGCTCTGCCCTTTCAATAATGCTTTACGGGCTTTTTTAAAAATAAAACTAAAAATATAAAATGAAGAAGAAATACTATTTAAAGACCTGCGAAGATCATTCAATTGAAACAGCTTTCGTCCTTTATGATTTTTCATGTGACTGCTTTATTACTTATGAATATTTTATGTATTTGTTAGACAGTTGTTTAATCTAGATTACTTGTGATTCTGGAGTGGATTTGACAATCTATGTGTTCCACTCTAAACTCTGTCTTGCATCATACAGAGGCTAACTTGCCGTGTGAAACTGTTATTGTGCCCATTACTCTCACTACCTTTTCACCCTCAGTCTTGTACCCTGTTTCTAGACAACTAACCCTGTTACCTATCGCTGCTGCACTGAGGTCACAATGCACAAGAAACTCGGAGCCCTTCCAGCCACATTCCTCATGTTCTGCCTATCAGGGAACTCTCCCACCCAATCCTGGGGCTTCTATAAAACTCCATTCATCCTGACTAGTAGTGTAGAATTTTACCCGTCCATTGAAAGTCCATTGAAACCAAGGAAAGTCCATTGAAAACAAGGAAAGTCCATTGAAAACAAGGAAAGTCCATTGAAACCAAGGTCCAGCAGAGTGTTGAGAATCTACATCAGATTAGGCTTGAATCCCTTCTACTGGCAGATTTATCACATGCTGTTTCCCCTGCAGCTATTCCAAATGAATATTGTGGTCAGTGATGGCGATGGCAGAAGCTGCCGCAGTCTTCTGATGGTCCAAGTGCAGCCTGTTTACCACAACACAGTCAATTTCACGTGAGCTGGGTGGACTGTTAATTGGGGAGGGTGAAGAGGGACACAAAGGCTCAGGCTCCAGATTCCTTATCCTGTAGATCTGAAGCTTGGACAGTGGACAGGTGTGGGAGCAGGTGTATCCTCACTGGCACTTTGCTACACATATTGGCCTGCATGGCACGATGAGAAAGGTGTGCTCCAAGGTCCCTTGGAATGGAGCACAGCAAAGAATAGTGGGTCTCATGTGGCCATAGGTGATCTGAGCGTTGTACCGCCACTATGCTTTGTGATGTTGCAAGTCATGTGCCTTTCAACATGAATGGTACTTCACTGGCATTCCAAACAATATCGCCACCAAGGAAACAATTCACCTTTTGAGCTGGGGCAATGAGCAGGGGCAGTTTTATCCAACGGGCAACAGGGGCAGCTGCACCAGACCCTGCACTTGGGGGAGCACTGCTATGGTCCCAGCCCCACCCCCAAAGGAGGGGGGAAAGAACAGCAGGTTTCTGCTGCTGCTTGTACCTGCTCCATCTGGGGCTCAGGCAGCTAGCTTCTAGCAGCAGCGGTGACTTCTGCCCACCTCCTGCAAAGTGAGGACCACTCCTTGTTTGGCCCAACTGGTGGTAGCTAGCGGGTGGGTGGCAGTGATTCTGGGACTCCATCTTGAACTTTTGTCTAGGGCCCCAGAATCACTAAGACCACCCCTGGCAATTAGCTGGTAACAAGGGCTTCCACACAAGCCATAGCACATGTGGAGCTATCCTGCTCCCTCTTGTACTATGATTAGGTGCGAGCAAACTCTCCACAGTCCAGTGCTCTGACAATCCTTTGAGCTGCCAAAACAAAAATGAGTAGCAGGTCTTTGGTATCCCCAAGTTGCTACTTCTTCCCACAATAGGGATGCCAGACGCCCTGGGAGGGCAGGGGTCCCCTGCTGCCAGGCCCCACCTCTCTGTTGCCAATCAACTGGCCAGCGGGGGGGGGGGAATCCCCCCCCAAGGGAGAAACACTGGATGTTTCAGCAACATGCCTACGTGACTTCAATGTGACCTGGAAGTGACATAGGCACGTCGGGGGTATTGGGGCAACGCTCTGGTTTTGGGGCAAAACTCTATGGTAGAATTAGCTTCCCGGTAAGCCCATCCCCCGCCGGCTGCCCGGAGGGACCTGGCAACCCTATCCAGCAATGATTCTTCAAACAGGGTGAGGGTACATGTAGTTCCACAGATCTGGATGTTAGAGTTGACATTCGGTAAGGTGGTTTTCCTGTGTAGACTCAGGGCAGATATATGGCTTGCTCTGCCCCCATGGCCCTGAACAACACTGAATAAGCGGTGTGCTGTATAATCCTTTCTGAAAAACATCCACCCTTCATTTAGATTGGGTTAGAGCAATTCTACCAGCTCTGTATATGCTGAAGAACAGAATGGGCTTTGGGAGGCTCAGAAGGGCCTCTTGAGGCATTGCTGGCCCTTTTTCAGGTCACGCACATTGCGAGGGTTGCACTGGTCAGCCAACACTCCTTATATGAACAGATCTGATGCCTTTGCTCTTAAAGTTCTTTGCTCATACTCAGTCTTTGAGCAGTGACCTTAAAATATGAGTAGCCAAGGTGGACAACAGGATTTGTGTGGGCTGCTGATTTAGTAGTAGAGACTCACACTGCTTTCTTTTTGATTCAGGGAGTCATCGAAAGCAGTCTCTGTGTTTGAAAACACAGGTCCCCTCCAGACTATCACACAGGTCCATGCCCATGGAGAAGGGCATGTGCTCTATGAGATCATATTTCCGAGCACAGTCTATTTCACCATTGGCTCGGGTAAGGGTGGTCCAAGTGGGGGCAGCATGGCATCCATGTGGCCTCAGGGAGGGCTGGGTGGTCAGCCACATGACCTTCAAGCAATGTCTGCTTTCTGTCGAACAGCCCCTTAAGGGGCTGGCTCACCTCAGCCTCTCTTGCCTGCATGCAGAGACGGGTGAGATTAAGAATACATACAACATAGATTTGGACCGCAATCCAGAGCTGGCCCAGACCTTGCTGGTGGTGAGAGCCTATGATATGCTCCATCCCTCCGATAGTGCCACCATCACCGTCAACATCACTGTTCAACCCCGGAACCTGCAGGGACCCGTGTGCCAACCTGCCATTTATGTGTAAGTATCTGGAGGGTAATTAAGCCTTGCAGTAGTTTGAGCCAGTTTAAAAAAAACCTGGGGCCACGACCAAGACTGTGGTCCTTTCCGCATTTGCCTGCCACTCCAGATTTTCTCAGTGTTTGAGTCGAGGCAATTTAAGTCCATGGTGAAACAGTGGCTGATTTCGCACTAGAGCTGCCTCGATGTTGCGCCGCCGTTTGCCCCGATACTATTGGTCAATTTCACACCCGAAGCGGCAGGGCTGCATTTTGACTCGCGGCTTCGCCCGATTTCCCCCGCAGGTTCGTGATCCTGTTTTCTGAGGATCACAAAACTGCGGAGGAAATCGGGCGAAGTCGTGGGTCAAATACAGCCCCGCGGCTTCGGGTGTGAAACTGACCAATAGTATTGGGGCAAACGATGGTGCAACATCAAGGCAGCTCTAGTGCGAAATCAGCCTAAAACATAAACTTTTGACACCAGAGTCTGGCATGACTGGTGGTAGTGCCTGCTATTTCTAGAATCCTGGATTAAAAAGAAGGTTGAATTCAATTTCAGTGCAGAATTGCTTGGAGGACACCACAGTGAACATGGATTAAAAGGAGAGTGCAGAAAGGGCCTGTGAAGGGTGTCTCTCCGTAACTCCATATGGGGGTATTGGTCACCATAGTATTCAAAACATTAGGGTGCTTGGGTACAAAGCCTTTCTCTGAGAAGACAGTAAGGTCTATGTGTTATTGTACTGGTTGGGAGACAAGGTTATCCTTGATCTAAAGATTTTAAGAGTTAGAGAAACTAGAGCACAGATACTATGTCTAAATGCAAAGCAGATACGTAACAATGACTTGATTGTGATGCCTTGCTATTCCTGTGCTCTGTGCCCTTCTGTCAACAGTGAAATGCTGTTAGCTTCTAAAAAACCGAGACAGCCAAAATCAAATAATTTTTTCTACCCTTCTGCATCCTCTAACCCTTGTGACTGGCTAATGCTATTTAATCCCAGGGCTGAGATTCCAGAGGATTCTCCCACTGGGATGAGCCTGACAGCTCTGTCTTGTGTTGATAAAGAGAGAAACAGAACCCTTCAGTACCAAATGGAGACCAGCCAGATCCCTCCTGGTAGTTTTCGTATGGAACGTAATGTGCTGCAGGTGAGCCTTCAGAATGGACCACGTCCTTACATCTGTGTAATCAGGGGAAGGGGAAAATGATAAGCAAGGGCTTAGGCTTCGGTAAATCCTTGTATATCTGCTTGCTCGGGCAGCATTGCGGTTAGTGAAATCTACACCTTGAAGGAGTCCTCTTTCAGCCATATTGTTGGTACCTTGAGCGTAGTCGAGGGATCATATCTATTAACAGGAGCTTAAGCATTGTCCTCTTTGCAGACGGAGCATCTCTCTTTAGCACAAGACACCATTTGCTTCTGCTGGGGCTTAGTGCCTGTGGATTAATGGCTACAGGGTTTTGACCACTCTGTGTGTGGGTTCTGGCAGGTGAACACCACTTTGGATTGTGACTCTGTAGCCATGGCCAGTCTTGGATTCCAGTACCGGGCCACCATTCTGGTGACAGACAGTGGAAGCCCCCAACAAACCAGTGAGTATCTTCCCATTGTACTGTATAATGCCATAATCACTAAAGACCATTACCCAGGCTCTATTGTGATTTTAATGTATTGTATATTGTTTTAGAGGCATTGTTTTATTGTTTATATTGTTGTAAGCCGCCCTGAGCCGCTTCGGCGGGAGGGCGGGATAAAAATCAAATAAATAAATAAATAAATAAATATTGCAGGCGTGTCAAACATATGGCCCATAGGCTGGATCTGACCCCTGCAAGGCCCCAATCTGGCCCAAAAGCAACTGGCTGTGTGCTGCTTCCTGTTCCTTACCTCACAGCCCCATTTGGCCAGTCTCTCCTACTTCCTGCTTCAGAGGAGAGAAAGAAAGCCTTCCCTCAATTTGCTCAGGGCTCCTTCCCCCTCCTCCTCTGGGGAGGGGGAGGAAAAGAGCCAGAGAGTGTGGGGAAAATGGCATCTCGTGGGACTTTTAAGAAGACCAGCAACATTTTATTCCAGGTATGACACTTTTTCTTCAGAGAGGGAGGGAGACGGAGCCAGCTAGCCAGACAGCCAGCCCGCCAGCCAACCAGAGTGAAAGGGAGCAAGAGTATAGCAGCACCTTAATGACTAACAAAATTTGTGGCAGGGCATGAGTTTTCATGAATCACTGCTCACTTCTTCAGATACAGCTGGAATGTGAGCCCATCTGTCCTTATATCTGGGAGAGTGAAGTGATTTCAGATGCCAAAAGACAATAGCAGGCATTGGTAATGGGAGAGGAAACCTAGGTCTCAATTCAGTCCAGGAGTTTGCAGTGTCTTGAGCTTCATCATCGGTTGTTTTTGGAAGGTTTTAACTGTATTTTTATGACATGTTTGTAAGCTGCCCTGAGCCCGCCTTGGCGGGGAGGTCGGGGTATAAATCAAATAAATAAATAAATAATCTCCCTTTGAAATTCCTTTGTAGGAGAACTGCTACATTCCTAGGTCAGCAACCGAATGCCCTGGAAAATTAAAATGTTACGCCACTGTTTTTTGAATTTTGTGATTTCTAATAGTGGTAGAAAGAGTAAGAATCCAGTAGCACCTTTAAAGACTAACAAAATTTTGGTAGGGTATGTACTTTTGTGAGTCACTGCTCACTTATTCAGACTTATTTCCATTTATTCTTTGCATCCTCCTGGCCTGAATCCTCCTGTACCAAATTGAGACCTAGGTTTCCTGTCTCATTACCAGTGCTGATATCTCCACCCCTCTGCATATCACACTTAATCCAATCACGCCTGCTATTGCCATTCGACATCTGAAATCCACTTTATAAAGTTTATACATTTTATGGCACACATGGCCCGGCCCAACAATGTGAGATTTATGTCAGATCCAGCCCTCGTAACAAATGAGTTTGACACATCTGCTCTATTGGGACTTGGCTTTCTTAATTCTGAATGCAGAAGGTCGTAGGCATTTGGGAAGCTCAGCAGATTAAGCAAAGGATCAACTTGCTGTGAGAAAGTATAAATGACCTCTCAGTGTTATTATCTGAACTGTACAAATAACGTATGTAGCTTTCTTGGGAAAGATAAAGATGGAATGTCTGTGGCTGTCGTCTGGAGGACTAGGGGATAAATTAGAATTGGGATCTAAGAGCCAAGTTAATGAAAGTATGAGGCAGCCACATGTTGAACATCAGAGCTGAATTATGGGCAAGGCTGTGCATGCTTGGTGCTTTTGTTTAAAAAAAATATCAAAATTTTTCATTGAGGCAACCCAAATTCCAGTCTCAGCATTCCTAGAGATTACATTTCCTCATGTAACATTGCCACTAATTAAGAGGATTGCCCTAAAAATGTGTTCAGCCTTGGCAGTAAGAAGCCTGTTTCCAGTATAAACTGAATTTTGGATTGATAGCAGAACTACAGTACACACAGAGACATTTCTTGTGCTAGTAGGTGCTGCGCTCTTGGCTTTTGTGAGCCCACTTCCTGCAATAAGAGAAACTGAATTGTGTGTTACCTGTATACTTTTTTTCTTTTTGGCCATCCAATTGCAGATGACTTATGGCGACCCCGTAGGGTTTTCAAGGCAAGAGACATTCAGAGGTGGTTTGCCCTTGCCTGCCTCTGCATAGCGACCCTGGACTTCCTTGTTGGTCTCCCATCAAACCAGGGCTGACCCTGCTTAGTTTCTGAGATCTGACAAGATTTGGTTAGCCTGGGTCATCCACATCAGGGCATATACATTATACTTTATACAAATTAAGCACATTTACCAAAAAAAACCCTACGGTATGCAAAGTCTCATGCCCTGATCATTGAACATCCTATTCAGCCTCTACTCTGACTCCTGAGTTTACTAAGCATTTTCAAGAGTCTTGCCATGAGCCTTAGCTTTTATTAAAAACAAAATAAGTTTCTAATCCTTCTGCCTGCCAAAGTAGACTTGAAATTGCATGGTAAAATTTCATGAAACATTGGATATCCATGGTCAGGTCTCTGATGTGTAACAGCCTCAAAATGCAGCCATGGGAGTATTGGGATATTTGGTTAAGACAGGCCCCGGTCACACAGGAGGCTTTGATCCGGGAGAGGGATGGATCGGGGGCACATCAAGCGGGCGTGATCACACTGCAACATCTTGGAAGCGGCGCGCACCCGTCCCCGATCCGTCTCTTCTGGCTGAAGATGCGTAGTAAAAACAAACCTACAAAACACTACTACCTACCGTAAAATCCGTGGCACGGGCAGCCGTGTGATCACCAATGCACCCATCTCCGGCAGCATGCGAGGCCCCCTGCCGAACTGTGCAGGAACACACATGCACAGCTGCCTCGCCTCGCTCTCCTGTCCGTGGCTTCCCCCTCACATCTGGGGAGCATATGTGTGGCAGCTCGGGGGATCTTTCTGATCCCACTGCCGCGCTTCTCTTTTGCTGCGGCTCTAAAAAGCCGCACTTCCGCCCTGGCTTTTCCTGCGGTGTGACCAGGGCCATAGCAGAGTTTGCCAAGTTATAGAAGCATGACACTAAGTGCAGTAAATAAATCTCCCAAGAAGTATATTGCAAAAAAAGTAAATTTACATTTATCCAAGTAGATCCAGTTCACATTCAGGCTGCAGTTGAAAGGAAGAGAAAGAAGCCTAATCTAAAGAGTACTTTCCCTATCACAAATGGCCAGCTTGTCTGGCATTCATGTGTGCGGGAGTATGAGGGCAATTGTATCCACAGGAGAGACCTGCAGAGACATGTGTCTCCATGGAAGGCCATGTAAAGTGAGTGAGAGGACAAAGTGAGAGAGAGGAGAGGTTACAGGGCAGCTCCCAGGTTAAGACAAAGGGAGGCATCCCATTCAAGGAGATAACACCTATACACACTTAGAGTGATGTAGTGCCCCGCCCCATGTCCAGGTATACTGAGTCACTAGGGTTGCCAGGTCCTCTTGTCACCCTGGTTGGGGGGATTTGGGGGATGTTCCAGGGGTGGGTGGGGACACCTCCAAGCCCCACCCCCAAGAGCAACCACTCCCCTGGCCACCCCTCTCCCTTCCCTCCTGCGCAATTTAAAGGGCTTCAGCTGATTGACAGGGACCACATGGCCTGGTGACCAGCTGGAAGGCCCTTTAAATCTTGCAGGAGGGAGGGAGGGAGGGAGGGGGTGATCACGGGTTGCATGCTTGGCTTGCAAAAACACCCTTTAAAGTGTTCCAGACTTGCTCAGAACAATAGTGGAATCAAAGGACCTATATCGCTTTGATCATATCTGTGTGTTCTGTTCTTAAGAGCAGATGACAGTTTCCCCTTCCTCCTCGTCCTGTAGGGTGTGGGACCAAGTTTCCTGCTAGGGCCATCCATTAGGCTTGCAAACAGTTTCTCTTCCTTTAAGGGTGATTGGATAGAAAGAGAATTTGTATTCCACTGCAGCTCACGTTCCATTTCTACACAAACCTGAAGAAGCGACAAAGTGATGCTTGTTTGTATCGATTTGCCATTTGGGAGTAAAGAGGTTTCCCTTGCTCGAAAGCTAGTTGAATCCGACTGTAGGGGGTGGTGTTCATCTCCATTTCCAAGCCAAAGAGCCAGTGTTGTCTGAAGACGTTTCTGTGGTAAAAATAAAAAAAGGGTTGCTAGGCCGGAACTATGCGATCAGACACCCCAAACGCCTTGAGCGCACGAGGTCGTGATCAGACCTTCAGAAATCCATGCCAAGACTGCATGGATTATCTGCCACCAGACTTTCTCAGGTAGCAAAAAACACGCAGAATAGTGTGGTGGGGGGGGGGAGGAAATGGGAGGCAGACGACTGGGGCATGACAGGCAGATGTTGCTGTCTGATCGTGCAATTTAAATCTGTAAGGGAACAGCAAGGGCAACAGATTAAACTGACCATCTGAACGCACCCCAAAAGAGAAAACTGTTAAGTCAGAAGAAGTCCCCAGATCTTAGTTGCCTGACCATAGTGACCAAAGAACAGTGACCAATGAACAATCAATTAAATAGCTGTCTGCAAACAAAGCAAGATATAGCATAGACATACAAAGGGTATGAAATCGACACAGAGTTGAGCATTTTAAGTTTCATTGATCTGAGTGGAAATGACTTAATCTCATACTTCCTCACTGAATTCAGTGGAGCTCAGACAGGTTTGTCAACTTCCAGGTGTGGCCTGGAGATCTCCTGGAATCACAACTGATCTCTGAATGACAACTATCGTTTCCCTCTGGGGAAAATGGCAGGTTTGGAGGGTGAACTCCAAGGCGTCATATTGAATTTCCCAAGCCAGAGTTGGCAACCGTTAGCTCAAATGAGCTGAACTTAGCTGAATTGTGACCAAGGTGCTGTACAGAGAGCTAACAACCCTCAACAACTGTACAGCATGAAAGTCCTAGTTAAACAACAAGGAAAACATCTAAATGAACTGTGGACATTTTAGAAATCACCTATCCTGAAAGCTGTAGCTGACTGCAAAAGGGCCATGCATTTATCAATAACACTGGGAGGAGTATAAAATAATAACTGTGTTAGTTTGCAGAGAACAAATCAAGAGTGTTGACAGTTCTGGAAAGGGATGCATTGCGGTCCTGGTTAGCAAACTGAAAGAGGCAATCAAAAAGCTATTGTTGGTGGAAGCTGTTTTGACCTCAGTACTTCCCCCAGGGACTGGTACATGAAAGGAGATGGTTTACTAAATAAATATGTCATGGACAAGCAACAACTACATGCGATCTTTGAAAAACTAACAACAAATAGAAAGCCCAGCATAGACCACCCACAAAGGCTATGGAGCAACTATGGTATGGTACACATAACAATTGATTTGAGAAGTGTTAAGCTTCTCAAAGTCACAGAAGAAAAGAAATGACATTAAAAATATGGAAATGGTACAGAAATCTGCTGTAAAAATGACATGCAAAGAAATGTGGCTGTGCTCATGTCTTTACAAGGAAAATTCATGTTCCTAGTAGGTTTACGTACAGGAGACATGACCTTACAATGCAATTCTATGCAGAGTTACTCCATTCTAGGCCCACTGAAATCATTGGTCTTAGACTGGAGAAACTCTGCATAGTGGCTTGTGCTGTAATAGCTGCTATCATTCTGTAAACAAAGAAATGAATAAATAAACTGGGCAAATAATTTAGCATTGAAGTCCATGATGAAAATGCAGAAAAATAGCTATTCTGTTGGTTTGTTGTAAGCTGTGCCTTTCCAGAATCTGGTCCACCCTTGAACATGTACAGACTATACATGATGGTTGCAGATCTATTTATCTATTAGATTTTACCCTGAACTTCCTACAAGGAATCATAGAATCATAGAATGTTAGATTTGGAAGGGACCTTGCAGGTCATCTAGTCCAGCCCCCTGCACTTTGCAGGAGCATAGCTGAAAGATAGCTCTACATACCTACAACATACCCGAAAGATGGTCGTCCTGCCTCTGCTTGAAAATGTCCAGTGAAGGAGCATCCACCACCTCCTGAGGCAGATCGTTCCACTGCTCAACCACTCTTACAATTAAGAAGTTTCTCCTGATATTTAGCCGGTAATGACTCCCTTGTAATTTCCACCCATTAGATCTAGTCTCGCAATCCAGAGCAAGAGAGAATAGATCTTCTCCATTTTCTACATGACAGCCCTTCAATACTTGAAGACTGCAATCATGTCCCCTCTAAGCCTTCTCTTTCCCAGGCTAAACATACCCAACTCTTTCAGCCTTTCCTCATAAGACTTGGATTCCAACCCTCTCACCATCCTGGTTGCCCTCTTCTGGACA